ATCCTCATTTTTTTAAATTCTTTTTTTCTGTTTCAATTGGGTGTTTTATGATACCTTGTCTTCAAAATCACTGATTTGACCCTATCCTTCATCTAGTCTGCTGGTGATTCCTTCTAGTGCATTCTTCATTTCAGTTATTGTATTCTTCGCTTCTGACTGGTTCTTTTTTATGCTTTCTATGTCTTTTTATGCTTGCTATCTCTCTGTTGAAGTTCTCACTAAATTTCTTAATATTCTTATAATCATTGTTTTGAACTCTGTCTCTGGTAGATTGCTTGCCTCCATTTTGTTCAGTTGTTTTTCTGAAGTTTTTGCCTCTTTTTTCATTTGGGATGTATTTTTTGTTTCCTCATTTTGGCTGCCTCTCTGTTTCTACGTATTAGGTAGATGTGCTAAGTCTCCCAGTCTTAGCTGGGTGGTCTTTTGTAGTAAGTGCCCTTTGGGGCAATGGCATGGCAGTTTACCTGGTCACCTGCTCCAGGTGTGCTCCAGCAGTGTCCTTTGTGTGGGTTGTGTGCACCCTCATGCTATAGTTGAATCTTGATTACTATTGGCGCCCCCCCCCCATGAGTCAACATCCCTCTGCTGGAGACAGCATGGGTGAGTCCAGGTGCAGGCCATTTAAGAGGTTGTCTGCGTTTCCCTCAGCCTTCTATCCCACCCGGATGGTGGAATCCCTATTGTTTTCACAACCTGATGTTGTGGAGGCTTTTGTTCCTGGCACTAGTACTCTGGGCTGGGGAGACTGGGTTGTGGATGGTGTCCCTCACTCCTCTGGTAGGAACTCCAGCAGCCGAGGTCTCCCTCCCAGTTCTTAACCACCACATGGAGGATTGGGGCTAGCCCATTTTGCATACCAGTCTTTATATCCTTAGTTATAAAACTTCTGTTCTGCTAGACTTCAGATGATTCTCCAGGTTAATTGTTCTATAATTTAGTTTTAATTGTAATGTGCTTGTGGAAGGAAGCAGGCACAGTGTTTATCTACTCTGCCATCTTGGATCTCCTGTATGATCTTTTTAATGTATTAATAAATTTGCTTTGCTAATATAGCTTAAGAAGGATAGGTGTTAATTGTCCTTTGAATGTTTGGTAAAATTCACATGTGAAACAATGCAGTCTAAGACTCATTTGTTGGGAGGTTTTGATGATTAATTTGATTTCGTTAGTAGCAATTGGTCTGTTCAGACTTTCTGTTTCCTCTTGATTCAGTCTTGGAAGATTGTATGTTTCTAGGAAATTTTCCATTTCTTCCAGATTGTCCAATTTGTTACCACATAGTTTTTCGTAGTATTTTCTTATAATCATTTGTATTTCTGTAGTGTCAGTTGTCACTTCTCTTTCATTTACAATTTTATTTATTCAGGTCTCCTTTCTTTTTTTTTTGATGAGTCTGGTTAAATGTTTATCACTTTTGTTTATCTTTTCAAAGAACCAGTTCTTAGTTTCATTGATCTTTTATATATGTATGTATGTATGTATGTATGTTTGTATGTATGTATTTTTTAGACTCTGTTTTGTTTATTTTTGCTCTGATCTTTAATATTTCCTTGCTTCTCCTCACTTTGGACTTTGTTTGTTGTTCTAGTGCAGTTCCTTTAAGTGTAAGGTTAGGTTGTTTATTTGAGATTTTTCTTGTTACTTAGAGCTTTAAAAAGTAGACAGTTGTCTCTGGTTCTTGGTAAACTATTTTCACCAAACTATATACCTTTACTCAGGACAAAGGTAGGATTCTTTCTCCTCTTTTGTTCTTTCCTTATCTTTCTCTTTGTCTCCTCCATACCCCCAATTCTATTTTCTATCTTGCCAGCATTATATTGGCTTTTCTTTTTTTCTGAGATATAACTGAAATATCAGAAGTTATTGACTTCAGTTTGGAATTTGAATAATTATTCCCAAAATGTTTAACACAGTTATTATTATAGTCCTTGGATTTCAGTACTTTAGATGGGAGTTTGATGTCAGTATAACATATAAATGTTATAATGTCATTTTAATAGAAGTGACAAAAATAGGACAGGCAGGCAAATATATAGCCTATTGGATACACAAAAGAGTAAATCAAATGAATTAAACATTTACTTTTGAAGAATATTAAGTTCCATTAAATTCAAACCAATTATACTATTTAAAAGTTATTTTTAATTATAAGCTATTAATATCACTGATTATTTTTCCTCCTAAATCAGTTAAGACCATTGGTTCTCAACACTGGCTGCAAATTAGAATTACCTGGTGCTGGGGGAGGTTTAAAAATTCTTGTGTCCATGTTGCACCCTTGATCATAATCTGTTGGGGAGAAACCCAAACCTCAGCATTTTTCTAGATCTCCCCAGGTTATTTCAATATGCTGAGTACAACTGCTTTAACAGATTACTGCAATTTCATGTCTATTAAATTTAAAGACTAGATTAAAAAAAATAAAAAGGCCAGCCGAGTGGCTCAGTTGGTTACGAGCACAAACTCTGAGCAACAGGGTCACCAGTTTGATTCTCACATAGGCCAGTGAGCTGTGCCCAAGCTGAGCTGCCGCTGAGCTGCCAACAGGTAGCAGGATGGCTCAGCTGGTGAGAGCACATGCTCCTAACAACAAGGTTGCTGGTTTGACTCCTGTATGGGATGGTGGGCTATGCCCACCTGCAACTGAGATTGAACAAAGCACCTTGAGCTGAGCTGCCCTGAGTTGCTGACAGGCGGCTGAATGGCTCAGTGGTTAGCGCATACACTCTTAGCAACAAGGTTTCCGGTTTGACTCCCACATGGGATGGTAGCTACACTCAACCTGCAACTAAGATTGAACACGGCACCTTGAGCTGAGCGGCCGCAAGCTGTCGATGGGCAGCTGGATGGCAACTGGACTTGGAGCTGAGCTAGCTGCGTCCTCCACAACTAAGATTAAAGGACAACAACTTGGCTATTCTGTTCCCCTTCCCCAATTCCCCAATAAAATCTTTAAAAAAAACCCCCACGTTATTTCTATTAGAACAGCAGAATCCTCTTCTCAGCCCGTTGAAATTTGGCTTTCTTCCATCACAGGAGTAAGTATCTTCCCATGGAGCAAGGATGTCCAATTTGGCAGAACTGGAGCACAGGAAGAACCCCAAAAGACTTTATCTTTTCCCTGGATTCATAGTAACCATTACACATGATTATGTTTATTTATCAGAATAACAAATGAGTGGTTCTACAGCTCTGTTTTAGATTCATATGCAAGGTTCTCAGCATCTTCAAAGAAGGGCCTTTCAATGACTCTAATACCTCAAACTCACTTTGTCTGCTCTCTACAAATATATATATATAAATTTTAGAAGGGGAAATTTTCATTGATGAAAAGCAATGGGAGAATCATAAAAAACAAACAAACAAACAAACGTATTTCAAGCAGGATGAAGAGCTGGCAATTGAACCCTTTCCTTACAAAGAAAAATGAGGAATACAGTATTATTGGAATTCTATCACCATCCAAGAATCTTACATTTGTTGATAAAGCCATTAGTTTCATTGTTAAGTAATGGAGAATCTGAGTTTTCTCTTCACCTGGGAAGATTCCCCGAATAAATGGAGCTCAGGCTGCAGTCAGGTACCAACTAAATGAAAGTCACCTCTTAATAGCTGAAGCAGGTGATGCTGAATAGCCCCAGTGGACAGACATAAGCTGAGAAGGAAAATTGGTTTATTTCAAGAAAGACATGGAAATCACCCTCTAGGCTGACCCAAGTTGTTTCAGATGATGAGTGGTATAAAGGTGACAAAACTTTATTGGCCTGAAAGAAATATAGAGAAAATAAATAAGCAATGTTTGCTTCTTTGTAGGCAAAAAAAAAAAATGTGTGCAGTGAATTTCCTCCCTAAGACTGGGGCATGTAGCCTGCTGTCAGTTTCCTGATATATCACCTACTGAGAAGCAAACACCACAGAGACATCTTAAGCTATGCCTCTAAATAATCCTAAATGGAGGGCCTAAGAAATCATGACAGAAAAGGAAGTATCCTTTTCTTGTACTTTTGGTGTCAGCTTCTCCTTAGTTCATCCTCATTTCCCTCTCATATTCCCCAATTATCCTTTGTTTTTATTACTCTTCTTGCATATCTGACCATCCTGGACAGGGTTCGTTTTACTCAAGGATAGCCTTAGTATTAAGCCTTGTCACTTGGCTGGGAACTAAGTACATCACATCTCAACACCTTAACTTGTTTTTAATTAAGCATTATGAAACTCCATAGGAACTTTCAGTATTAGTACCAAGATGGTTTTGTATAGGAGCAGGCTGTAGTAATACATAAAATGTGCTGGAAAAGTAAAGATATCTTTCATCTGTGAGAATTTGAACACTAAAATAAGATGCTTTAATTTCATGTTACCCTTAGACTTTCTTCTCTAACGTTGTTCAATGTATTCCAAGTAAATATGGGAAAAATTTAAGTGTACTTTTCTGTTTGAATGCCAAGGACTCAAACTGCTTTGGGTGTGTTTGTGTTCAAGTCATTGCACCAGCAATAGATTCTTGCACCCAAGAATCCATTTCTATGTACTAAGAAAATCCAGAAGCTATTTTCCACATTGAAAACTCAGAGAAGGGATGGAAATACTGAAAAATATATTCCTTGTTATTGGAGTGTGGTATTATTATGGAAATAAAAATATTTCTTTTAATTCAGTACTAATAATTGTCATAAAGTATCTCAAGTATTTTAGTCTCATCACTGACACCACAGATTTCTGGGAGTGCTAACCTGATTAGTAAAATAAATTATACTTTCAATCATATAAAGAGAGAAAAAAGCCAATAGATTTTGGGATAGCACTTTTGTTGATGTGTTCCTTAGATATGTTCCTTTTTATCCTTAACTTTGCAAAAATCGCTGGAAATGGAAATTACTATGTGTTTACAATTTGAACTCAAGTGTACCTGAACAAGAATGGTTAAATGTCTTTTCTTGAAATGATATATTTATAGAGTTTGACACAAAGAAAATAGCTAAGGTTATACAACTCAGAAGAATCAAAAGATACTGCAGTAACACAAAATTGACTTTTAATGTTTACCAGTTCATTGTGTCTTACAGAAAATGAAAACATTTTTTGTTTGTTTTTCTTGTAATACAGATTGGTTCTTTTTCTCAGATTTGTACTCAATAGGTATTAAATGCATTTAAATACTGATTTTCTTATAATCACGTGGCTTAGTGACTTTTTGTATGTTTTATTTCTTTTGTTGTACATCATTGCTGCTCTGGCAGTAGTGAGCTATGATACAGTTAACTTCTCAACAAAACTGTCAGTTATCCATTGATCATTCTTGATGCATTCTATGCTAAAAACTGATAGCAATTCCTTTTTAACCCTCCCATTCTTAGTGGTCAGCTACACCATGAGACCACCATATTCTTTGGAGCACTGAAATCAAGAAACCTAGTATGGCTGCCAGCAACCAAATTGGAATCTCCTTTGATTCTACTTCTAATTGCCATAATAATGAGCAACTATATTATTGCATAAAATAAAACTTTAACAGGTACCGGCCCCCTTTCTATGAGAGAAAGTTTAAATTTACAAATACCATATTTGACTAAAAATTACTGTGATAAAATATGGCAGCAGTCATTAAAAGATGGTGTCCAGTGTTAATGTGATAAATTTGTTTCCATTCCTATTCTTTTTATATGAATTATTTCTTCTTATTGATTGGGTTTTCAAATGTAAGTGTCTTGGTGAAACTTGCAGATAATATTTGTTCCTTATATGTGCCACAAGTGTTAATTAATTATGGACAAAATAATCAAAATAAGATTTCTTAACCCAGACTCCCATCTTACCCCTCTGATACTCTTGAGCCCCAAGTCTGAGGAACAATTTCTGAATTAGCCTGTATTGTGCTGACACTCTGTTAGAAAACTTTTATTTTCTGACATCCTCAGTGAGATATCTTGGGGAATGAAGGAAGAAAATAGACATTTGGTGGAAAAATGGCAAAATGATAAAATTAAAAAAAAACAAAAACTTATTCAAGTAGAAGTCCAAAGGGGTAACGGGATTATCATCCTTTAGGGGAAGTCAGAAGATAAAAATTCTGCCTGGCAGTATTCTTTTTTTTTTTTTTTAGTTTTTTTTTTTTTACAAGCATGGAAAAATGGTGTGCAATTAGTATAGATTTTAATCAGCTAACAGTCAGTCCAGAGTTTTTGATCAGCACCAATTGCTATACTAGTAAGTATTCAAAAGTTAAGAAATGCTACTATACTTAACGTTATAAAGGTAGAGTTCTGTAGCAATAACTGAAAATTATACATCTGCTTCAAAAGAAATTTGTTTCCACTTGCATTTCCAATACAATTTTTGTAACGTGGGTAATAATTGTTCAAGTATGGGCTTCCTCCAATGAGCTAACCCCCATATTTGAGGCATTAGAGTCACTCTTTTGGAGATAGTCCCCTCTTTAAATAATATATTCATCTTACTCTAGACCATTCAGGTATTTTTAATTTAAAAGTTCGAGTTCTATTTGTATCAGCAGTGTTTGAGTTAAATCTCACAATCTCTTTGGATTTATATTTTTGTACAATTTGCATATCTAGCCTAATGTAAAAATGTGCATGCATACATTGTCATCTTTTAATATTAAAGCATCTAAAAATTTCCAGGTATGCTTTTGATAAAAGAAGCAATCTATTTTTATTTACAATATTTTGTCTAGGTAATGTATGAATATAGTTATGGTTTCATCAACTTCCAATTGTTCTATACCTTCCACACATGTAACTCTACATTTAGAAAGTAAATTTATTAGGATTATTACAGAGCTTTAAATGCAACCACAATCAATTCAGGAAACAGATTTATTTACTCATGTTCATGGGAGGAAAATCTACATAAAAACATTCATGAAAGCAAACCAGCTATGTCATACTTGGATTATTATACTAAATCCCATTTATTAGACCTTATTGTGAAACAATGGGAAACCATGAAATGTAATTTGAATACAAATATTGGTCCCTGTGGGGTCTCAAGAGTCATAAAAATACAGGAATACAGAGGTTTATTTAAAATTGGAGCTGCTAATGTGAAAGTTGTTTTTCTGAAGCTGGACTCACCTTTTCACTTACTGAAGGTTTTAGTGTAAACTCTTTGATGACAGCTTCAGTGTTTCATTTATGCCTAGTGGTGACCAGCAAAGAAAGTGACAACATTGACCACATTTTCTATCTAGAGGAAGGTTTAGAACTACTTTGTTGCCTTTTCCCCCCAAACACAGGCACCAGTTGGGCTAGTGTATATACAAATAGGAAATAAAAAGAATTTTGAAAGTTGGGACCTTATTTCTTGGTTAGGCAAATATGTAGTTGTTTATTTCTTTTTTATGATTTAAATTTTTCAATGTAATGTAAATAAGAAGGAAATATTAAATAGTTTAAAGTTTTTTTTTATAGGACAATAAGATTTTGTAGGCTAACATAAAATTAAGCTGCTAAATTTTACAATTTTTCTGTCCAGCAGTTTATCTATATAACTGCCCTGAGTAGATGCTAAATGCTGCTTAGCAAATGACCCTTAGAATTTAAATATAACTCAGTAAAGCTACTCAAAAGATAAAACAATTCTTTTTAAGCATGTGTAATTTTAATTAGAAGGTAAGAGTCTCTTATTGGTTAAATATTATCTGCTTATTTATGTTTCATACTTCATATAAATGGGGTTATTAAGGAGTTTTAACTGTGCTTGTTATTATGCATTGGAGTCCATATGAATTTTTCTTTCTTTTTTTTTTTTTTTTGGTCAAAAAGGCAGGATTTTAAAGAGTAAAATATTCTATTAGTGACTTGAAATATTAACTTTTAGAAAAGAGTAGATTATTCCCTTGTGAAACTGAGTTTTGTGCAGCCTCTCAGAATCTGTTTATGTAAAGAAGCCTGTATTTCAAATCTGTTGCTCTAGTTTGTTTATTGTAGTGCATTTCAAAATCGTACAAATGTGTAAAATTTGTGCTTGTGGAAGCTGCTGCTCTGAGTAGCTTTCCTTCCCTTAATTTAATCCTAGCAATCCTCAAACTATTGCATGCCCTGCTCATGAAAGGATACTTCGTTGGGATGATGTAGCCTAAATAGTTTGACTCTCTAAAGCCTCCTTATGTAGCACTTCCCTTAACATTATATTAATTTATAATATATATTGAATGATAGCTTTACAAAAACAAATTAATGAATTGATCTTTATGAAAATGACTCTTTACAGTAAGTAAAAAACGGTTATCACAGTTTTGGTAACTTGCATGAGTTCGTATTGAAAAAAAAACCTTTCACATGTTCTTAATGACTCGAAACCTGACGTGCTCTAAGGCGCACGCTCAGTTGTATGCTCTGAAGCAGTAGACACCATACAGCTTATGCTTTTTATCTGGGAAACCCACGAAGCGCACCGCAGCCTCAGTGGGACTGCAGCGCCTTCTTGGCCTAGAGATGGGATAGCGGACACTGCCATCCGCCAACCAGCCCGCATCGCAGCGGTCATAACCCAGCAGTTTCCAAGCAGCGAATATCTGGCCCACTTTTGCAATCTGAGCACCATCATTGAGACAAGCTTGCACCGCTTCATCATAGGTCAGCTTGGTGGGGTGGATCAGGTAGTAAAAACGGCCTGCGGGAGAAAAGGAGAGGAAGTCAATGGACCTGCCTGCGACTGAGTCACACAGGTATGGACTGGAGCCCAAACCGGAAGTGCTTTTCAGTGAAGCAGGATATAAGCAATGTCTGTAACGTTTCGGGAACATAGGATCTTTAACCAAATGTAGTACCCCTAGGTCGCTCTCCCCTACATTTTTTTTCCCCCTTGTAATACGTGTTCAGACATGCTCTTTTATAGCTTTAAAAAAAGAAAAAGGGAAATGACAGATGCAGTTTCTGTTAGCCAATTAGTGACTAAAAGGGCCCTTCTGTGCACCAGAGAAGACAGAATTCCATGTTAAAAGCGAGAGCTATTTAAATTCTAGCTGTAGCAAGACTGAACACCAGCACAAGTTTCTGGAGAGGCAAAATTTGAATGTGAAAGGATCAAAAAACATTCCTGACATAAAAAGTCCATTTAAAAAATATCAAAAGCCCTCAAGTCCTTTTCATTACAGGTATCAATAAGACATTATTCTTATTCAAAGACTACAGTATGAAAATGCAAAAAATACAGGAAGTCACTTGCCATAAATAATACGGGCTCACAATGTGAACCTAGTCTGTTCACTCACTAGCAAAAAAGGATGAATTTATTTCTTTTTTTCAATTTTCTTCTGTGGGAGCTCTGATACCTAACTTTTTTTTTTCCACAAGAAAGAGCAAGTTAGTCTCAAGCACTTATTGGATGGTGTTAATTACTGAGATCCCTTCAATGTATATTAAATATGCATAGAATGTATAAAATATTACATCAGCTGACTGAAGTGATACTGAAGTGATTGAAGACTTTCTCAGACTTTCAGTTTTAAGTAAAATATAATCTCTTATCTGATGACACATTGTAATGTGATATCCCCCTGCGCCTCATTAAATATAGATTACTGAAGTATAAATTAATGCTTGCCAGTTCTTTCTAGACTAAGACGATGTGATTTGGAGAAAGGGTAGAGGCCATTGGAACATTAGCTAGAAAGATCTTTCTATCATCTATCCCAGAGGTCGGCAAACTACAGCACATGAGTCAAATGAAGTTTTATGAGAACATAGCCACACCCATCCATTTAACATTGTCTATGCTGCTTTTGTGTTACTACCTACAAAGCTACATTAATTGAGTAGTTGCAACAGAGAGCATATGGCCCACAAAACCAAAAATATTTACTATCTGGCCCGTTATAGAAAGTTTGTTGATGCCTGATCCCTTGCTATTTTTCCTAAAGCATGTCACCAAGGAACTGAAATAAAAAATGATGGGACCAGGGTTTGCTTTATATATGTGCAACCTGTGCAGTTACACAGGGCCCCATGATTGGTTTAACACCCTGTTATCACCCTCTTAAAATTCTCAAGTTTTGAACAAGGAGGCTACATTTTCATTTTGTACTAGGCCCCACAAATTATGTGATTGCTCTGGATGTAAGAAGGTAGGGTCGGGAGTTAGGATGAATGCGACAAATCAGTCATTGACATTAAAGCAACTTGCATCTCTTTTCTGCTGCTTTCACCACCAATGTTATTTCTACTTGCAAAACTCTCTTTATCCTAAGCTTTGTTGATCATTTATGAATATATTGATGTTGTGATTTAGAGAAGGAGAACGTGACACAGAAGTCACCTGTATATCAGTTGGGAGATCTATAGCCAGAGAGGGCACACAATGGCAGCCTCATTTTTGGCAATAAGAAACAAACCCCAGACAATTTAAGCTATTTCATAATAACAATCAGATGCAATAAAAACTAGGAATAGTAGAAATTTTTTACTTTTGCTTGACTTATGTGGATTTTTTTTTTACATGATGTTAAAGAACTTTTTACATCTTTTCAAACTGGAGCAATACTCAAAGCTTTCATTTCTTTTTTTTAAGTGGAAACAATTAAAAGTCAAGTCAAGTGGCATAGTATGTATCGGTCTCTAGCACAGGAAAGAAGGCAGAACAGTTAATATCTTACCATTGAAGTTGGATGTAAAACAGAACACATCATATCTGCTCTTATCTTTATCCCAAAACCCATAGTTCCTGACACCAGGCACCGTGTTCTGGCCTCCGCAGGGCTCTCTGGGCTTGGTGATGGGGTATTGCACAGAGCCATCACTGAGCCAGCCGGCATTGCACCAATCTAGCCCTCCCCGCCAGGCATCATACAGCTGGTCGAAGGAGGCGATCACAGCATCCTGGTCCAGGCAAGCCTGCTGTGCCTCGTGGAAATTGAGATTGTAGCGCCCTAGTCGTGGAAAGTAAGGAAATACCACACCTGTCCAAAGGAGAAAGCATGCGATCATTAGCGACACAAAAAATAACAACTATGAGTAAATCCCACTTCACCGGTGAAAAACATAAAAGAATCTCCGTCAGAGGAAGCAGAAGTTTTTGGTCAACGCTCAATGGCTTCTCATGGCCCCTTTCCCCTTCAAATAGCCTCTGAGCTCTGAGCATCTTGCAATTAGCTACATGGTATGATAACTTCAGTGATTTACCTCTTTTGCTGATGATAGTTCAACTCATCCTTAAAATTCTCCTTTCTGAAATGATTCATGTGCAGATTATATTTTCCAAAGAGTCCTCTTTGAGATTTATCACCTGCTACTGGTTACTAACCCTAAAATGGATTACCATTAAGCCCTCTGTCACTTGGGAAAAAGTCACTGTTGAATATTAGGAGTGGTAGGGGATGGAGAAGTAGTTCTGGGAGAGAAGGTATTTATCAAAATTGACAATGCTTTTTCTTAGTAATTAGTCTTCTGTAATTAGTTTTATATAGTCTTTTAATGTACAGTCTTTAAATGTATAAACAAATGTTAAATTATTCAAATGTAGATATATACCTACTTTTACAGGTGCTCCTAAAAACTTGCAGGTAAGTAAGTTTCACTTAGGAGGCTTCTAATTCAGAGAAACCCAAGAGTGAATCCTTTGCATATCTAACAAAAACCTAATTAAGCAGTCTTATTTCATATTAATAAGACAATTCTTTACTGTGAGGCACACCTCCATAAAAAGCATTGTGGCTATCTTATTTAGTACAGTTTTTACTGTAGCCCTTAATCTTTTCTGTCCTTGACCAATGCAACAAAAACAAGGACTTTCATTTTAAAAATTTCCAATATTGTTTGTCAGCTTCCATATTCATAATATTAAAACCCAAACTAAGCTTTCAAAACCATTTTTATTGCAAATAGAAGAAAAAAACAAAACAAAAAAACTTTCCAAAGCTTGTCCTATACAAGATAGGTACAGAATAGACATCTGTTGATTAAGATTATGCCAAAGAATTAAGTTAAATATTTGAAAGGGCAAAACCTTCAGGAAATGTAAATGATGTGACTCAGAACTTGACTTTGCCTGGAAAGATGCAATGGTTTTCCAAAAGCATTCCTTTTGGTCAAATAATCATGGGAGATGATTGAGCTGTCTCACAACTTTCTGCACAATCTCTTTAACGAATTAGGATTCCATTAGAAAGCAAGTTGTGCCATTTCCTGGACTTTCAGAATGACCACTGTATCAAAATGTCTCCCCCCATAGTTGCTAAAAGGCAATTAATTTAGAGTGATTATTCAAAGCCTTACCTTGGAATTTTTAAATATAATTAAAAATAATTAATATTTTAGCATGTGAAATATAAAAACTTATCCCACTGACATAGTAGTTTGATGAATTATATCACATGTACTATATTTATGAGCCTGCAGACTCTATTCAAGATGAATGTACAATTCACTAACAGTGTAACCAGCACACAGGAAATGTTTTCTTTTATAAGTTGTCATGGAAGGCTCTACAAAAAGACATTTCATAGCCTAAATCAAGTCGGGTCCACCGAAGGCTTCTGCAGGACACGTTTGTCCCTCTAGGGCAGTCCAGCTGGCACTGCCCACGACGGGCAGAGATCCAGGAAGGTTTCCTGATCTCATCCTGCCTTCTCAGGTTCTTGGCTGAGGGATCTGTACGCTGAATCAGAGCCAAAGGGAAGGAGGAAAAGACTCTCTGGGTTGCCACTGCCTCCTGCAGTGATGATGGCAGGGCAGCCTGGAGATGGCTCTATCTACGAGCTATGCCCAGGCATCCAGCTAAGAACCCACTTAGTGCTGGGAAGGACAGTTACCCCGTCCCCTGGTGCCTTTCTTCCTCTTTCCTCAGCAACCCCAGGAATGTCGCTGAAAGGGAAAGTAATTTATACAGTAGAGGTTTCCTTGGCAGCTAAAACTCAAGTGATAGAAAATCTTAAAGTATCTCGATGTGGAGAGAGAAGGAATCCATTTGGGTTGCTTTCCATTTCCCAAATGGCTCAAGATGGTCACAGTGGAAAATGTAGAATATTTTAATTTACAATAATTTTAAAGACCAAGATAACCTTTCAGGTATAAATTCACTATAGCAGGTTTGGTGGACTCTTGTGGGCATTAGGAAAATATTTTCATTAGTAATTTGTCCTTGATTAACCACTGAATGTTACTGAAATATGACTGCTTTGGTTCTATATCCAGTGTAATGTATTTTTATTTGAGTTCCTTTCAAATTTAACATAATTTCATGCAACCATTTCTTAAAGTCAACGTGAAGCCCTATATTAAAATTTTACTATTTTTCAGTTGTAAGAATAAATGGTCATCTTATTGTTATATTAACTTAAAGATTTACATAAATTTTAATTAATGTTTGATGATGCTGGAAGGAACACATTCCAAGTACATTAAGGTTAATTTCTACGTCTTAGCCAAAGTTTTAAAAGCTTCATTGTATTGTGCACATTTTACTAATCAGAAGTTTTTAACAAGCAAGTTGGGACATTTCTGGAATGACATGTTTGTTAGTCTTTTATTTATTTACTTATTTTCTTCCGGCTAGCTAACATTAATTAACATCTCGGGCTCTGACTGCAGAGACATTCTTGGCTCTGTGGAAAAATGTGCAATTCCTACAGCTGAACTATGGAGCAATGGTGATTGCTTTAGTCCAGCATTACAAAAACAAGAAAAGTTAAACTTTCATGGGTGAGAAAAACAGATGTATAGTTATTTTGTAAGTATAATTATTTTATACTTACATGTCAAAATATAATCAAAAGCTCTTCACTTTTCTAGGAAGGGCTGGTATGTATCACTACAAAGGGGATTAAAAAGTATGATACATTATATGGAAAATAATAATATCAAATGATGTGAGTAGTTTAGTCGAAATATGTTTTGAAAACATTATTTAAGATTTATAATGGCACAGTCCAATTCATCCTAGTTGTTGGCATATGACATATGAAAGGTTTTCATACCACGGTACATATAAAAACTAAATTTCAGCAACTCCATAAAGTAAATGCATTTAGTAATAAAAAGGCAGAGATCATACAGCCTAATTTTACCTTCTTCAGGGACTCTCATAGTGCCTGGCGGTGTTGTGTACATATCTGAAATTATTTTTCTATTTTTGAAAGCTCTCAGACTATATTTTTGCTTATTTGGCCTCATTTTTACCAATGTTTATTGATATATTAATTTGAATCAATCACAACTGATAGCACAAGGTGGCATGCGACCTGGAGTCAAGAACTACAACTAAGAGAGATGAGAAGGTCACAAAAAGGCAACTAATGATATCATGCAATTTATTAAATACATAAAGCTAATAAATCTCCATACACGTGATGGGATTCTATGGGATTCAGAAGGTTAAATATTCAGTGATGTGCTAGTTGACCAAACGTATTTTTCCAAAGGCACAGATCTGTTACAGGAGGTGAAAGGAACTTCCAAGAAACACACACCTATAGTTGATGTGGGTAAAGAAGGGAAGTATTCTATCAATGCAGCCAGAATTCATTCTTTAGTGTAAAGAAACACTGAAGTTCATGAATGTAAGATGTTTTGAGGAACATGAGAAACTAGGAGAAGAGTTTTCCTATTGGCAGGGCCTATAGAGGGTGGGGTTTGGGCTGAAGAGACACAGGATGGCAAGGACACTTTTTGTTGTTTAGCTGTCTATACATTTGTGTTCTTGAACCTGCTGAATGTATTACATATATAAGAAATAAGGGCCGGCCGAGTGGCGCGTTGGTTAAGAGCTGGCTTGGGATGCCAGAGGGCCCGGGTTCGGATCCCACATTTGAGGGGCAGTGACACTGCCCTCTACAGCTAAGATGCTGAACAACAGCTCAACCTGAAGCTGGGCTGCCGTGAGTCTCCGGTGATGGCGTAGGCTGCAGCCCCTGCTGCAGTGGCTTGCCATGGGATACCGTGTGTAGCCAGCAACCAGCGTGAGCAACCAGCAGCTGCTGTGAGCAGCCATCCAGAAGCTGGCGACGGAGCTGCCTCACCTGGGAAGAGCTCAATGATGGTGCCAACTTGGGCCAGTGAAGCAACATCCTCCATAACTAGGCTGGAGAACAAACCGACAGCAACTTGTCTGTTCCCCTTCCCCCAATTCCCCAGTGCTGTTCCTATCCCCCAATTCCCCAATAAAAATCTTAAAAAAAAAGAAATAAAATTTCCCCCCAAAATGCCTTGCCTGTTTAATATTCAATGTCTAAGTGACTATAGACTATTAAAAACAATTGCTTCTTTACAAGAATATTTAAATAAATTTGGAGGTTATTTTTTTGTTAAATTAAGTTTTCATGGTTGCTTTACAGAATACAATTACATGTATTTTAGTTAGCAGATGTCCTTCCCAAAACTTGCCATTATTTTGAAACTGAGATAATTTTAGAAGTATAATAAGAAAAAGGCATCCAATCTGAATTTCTCAGTAACCATGTAATGAGATTTAAATTTTCAATAGCAAAAAGCAGTTTCTGAATATTATTAATTCAGTTCCACTGCACGTTTCTCCTACTTGCAAATAGCTTCAATTTTGCATTTAACCATTATGTGTACATTTCAAATATGAAAGCTGGACTCACAGACAGACTGCAAAATACAAAAGAATAGAAAAACATGCTATGCATGGACTTTTGGCTTCTCATACCATCACTATGGTAACCACTAGACATTACCCGTCATGCAGTGAAAGAGCAATGATTATCATGTCTAAGTTCGACATGATTTATAGGTACTCACCTTGTAAATCTAACGCTACCACAGCAGTATCATCTTCTAATCCTTCAATCACCTCACACTTATATCTGCCATAATCCTCCAGGGTGAGGTCTGTGATCACCAAAGAAGCATCGTTATCACTGCCTCCCTTCAGAAACACTCTACCCTGGTAGCCTCCATAGGCTTTCTTGTGGTATCCCATGGAAACAAAAACGTCCACTTCCTTGAGGTAATCTGAAGTGAGCTTGGTCCACTTAATTCGAATTTTGTGGGTTCCTGAGCCAAACGTTGTAGGGTCTCGATAAAATTTACATGGCAGTGTAACATTGCCACCTCTGTGGGAGAACACCTTGGCTTGTTCTGCTTCCACGAGTAGATGGGGGCCATTTTCTGCTGTAATTAAGAAGAAAAAGAAGAAAAAGAAAATAGCTATTAACATGCTTTTAAACTTTTTTATAAAATGAAATGTGCTACCTATACAGAGTATCTGGCAAACAGTAGCATTGGGTGATAAGCTTCTCTGCATTGTTGGACATCAATCTCTTTTGAACCATGTAAAAATATATCTGTAATAACTAGAAGGCATCTATAAGGTAGCTATGTCTTTAAAGCTCTGAAAAAAGGAAGCACGTGCATTGTAATTATTAAGAAATATTGGAATAAGACTCCATCGTCATCTGAAGTTGGATGATTTTATAATAAATTTTATTTTTTTATTTACATTTAAATATCAAAAATGTAGAAATAAGCCCAAGAAAAGTAACAGAGTATCATGACTATTTCATCAATATAAACCAAAAAATTTCAAGGTAGGTAAACTTCTCCCCTCCTAGGTGGGCTTTCTAATACAATAAATCTGTATTATATTTATGGAAAAAGTATAAAACAACATGATTAACTTTAATTATACTCTTTTGGGCAAAGAACTTAAAATAGCTTTACATTTATGGCCTCTATTGAAATACATACCTGTGATTAAAAATGCCATTCTGGAACATTTTAAGCAATATATATTTTATTTTCACACAAAGGCTAGATATCAGAAAGGTATTTTTAGAGAATGCTTTAAATAAAACCTCCAGATTTTCAAATGTATGCCTCAAAGCTGAATGTTAAAAGTGTATCCAAAGTTATACTTATTTTTTGATTAACCAAATCATTATATCTTTATTCCCTTAAATCTCCTTCTGCTCCCTCTCTCTTTGCTTCCTGCTCTGTATTATTTTACAGTTATCTTGTCACTTCCACCTTTCTTTTCCTTGCCCTTTGCTTGTCCTCCTCCTTCCTCCAAGGACTTTATAGCCAGCCTTCCACAGAGCACCGCAGTATCCCAAGCTTGCCAAGTCAGCAGGGCTGCCGTTCTCTAGAGAGACAGATGTTATTTTCAGATCTTGGCTTTCTCTGGGGTTTCCCCTGGTTAGCTCATTGTGCTTTTGACCTTGACAAGGTTTCTTGAGGATGCACAAGATTTGAAAATGGGAAAGTGATATAAGAACTCTGGGACACAAGCACCTTCTCATCCATACATAGCTTTCATAGGCTGCCAGATCTACCTTTCATGCAGCCCTTCCTGCCTTAGGCAGGTAGGTACTGAACAAACCTTGGCAATGAATCATTTAAGATACACAAGTCACCAGGAAGAGGAGCCACTTACCTCCAGACAGATCTGAAAATGTAGCTAATGGCATACATTAGAGTCAGATTTTAAAATAAAAAGTGTCCAAAAATATAGTGGTTCTATTTTTACCATATAGCAATCAGAATTATGTATTAGTGGAAAAGAAACATAATTTCATGTATAAGTCAGCCCCAATCCTCAGAACTGAAAAGTTTAACAAAGCCATCAGGGTCCCTACTTTGCATAGATTAAAAAAAAAAGAGGATAATGGCTTAATTAAAATGAATCACAAATCCAACTCGTTCAGCATGTCCTTTGGATTCTAGTTTTTATCTTCTTATTTAGGGGCATAGAATGGTAAGAGACAAAAAGTAAATCTATCCAACTTTACCCTACATAATTTCCTACAATAACCTCAATGATCGCATCCAAGCTCCACCTCAATGTCGCGAGTGCCTTCTTTCTGGGAGGAGGGAGAGAGGCTGTTGACTGAGTTTTTGCTCAGTTATACCTGAGGGCCACAGGGGACATCTCAAATCCAGACCCCTGGGAGGATACTTGGGAACTGGGCCTTTGCATGCCAGGACCCGAGTTTAGACATGACGCAGAGCTACAAGAGGTTGCATGCAGTTTCATTATTATTATTTCAAGCTTTTTAAAGTCAAAACTAATGTCCAAATTCACTGCGATGGGGGTGTTACAGTAGTTATAGGAACAAGGACTTTAATGTGATAGAGACATTGTTCTAACCTTACCTCTTCAATTTACTGGCTTGAGGGCCTGGAAGAAGCTGTGCAACCGCTAAGCTCCAATTTCCTTATATGTGAATTAAGGGCAGTAATGTCTACCATATATAATAGACCTAATAGACACATAATGCACTTAGAATAATGGCTGACCTAATGTCAGTGTCCACTCACTGCTAACTGTTCCTACTGTGTAGATTTTCCACAGTATTTCTCAAATATGATAGATACTGCCTGATACTGGGCATAATTTTGGCATACATTAACTTTCCATAGTTTCACTGACTTATAAAGTTTTGAACCATGTGGAATGAAAAATACATAAAATGCCACCTGTGTTATATAGGAAACTTGGAAATTATCATGTGGTTTAGCATAATCATAAGGTGTTCCAGACTGTGTACAAGGTCTGAGTGTTTTATAAATTAAAGAGTTAAAGCAAAGATTAAAACTCTTGTACAAAGGACTGAGACTTCTAATTTTTTTCTGTGGTTAACTGTTAATCATCTTGTAGTATTTTAGAAGTATAAGTTTCTGATTTTTTGAGGTACTATTTACTTTTACTCCAGCAGTATGCATAGATGATGACTTATGTGATATACTATTGAGAATTCAGCAGACACCAAAAATCCACTGGCTTTCCACAAAATAATTTTTCTAACAAGCTTGCCAGCATGTGTAAATTGCTACCATTCTTATTTTTTTGGTGGCTGGGGTGTTGAGGCAATAGATGCTAAAGTCCCTGGCTGAAACTCAAAGAACCCTAAGGAAGATGTGTAACATATAATATAGAGTGACTGAGGGCCTTTAATAGTCATTAACCGAAACCCCCACCATGGCCTTGAGAACAATGTATTCTGTTAGTTTGCTTGTTTTTAGGAGACTCACATTGCAGATTATAGAGCACTGAGCATTGATGGCAGGAGCAGCCTTGCCTATTCTGCAATCAGAATAGGCAAGATGTAGGCATGAACACTGGCCAGTGAGTCGGAAGCTCTGGCTTCCATTGGAGGCTCTACCAGGGCTTAGCTATTTGAGTGACAGGTCTGTCATGAGACCATTAAGCTTAACACTCTTATCAGGCTCACTATGGCAGGTGCTCATGATAGGGATCAGCCAAGAAACACATTAAGCTGGAGAGTGGAGAGGGCAAGCACAGAGAGCAGAAAAGGGAATGGAGAGAGCTGATGACAAACTTGGCATTGTCTTGCCTCAACAATGAGTCTTGAAACTCTTCATTAGATGCAAAAACCTGGATTGATTTGAAATTAATGTTTAAACCAAAACTGTTCAATCAACAGGCAGTTGCAAAGCAAATAAAATGTAAAAGATAAAACTAAACCTTGATCATCAGAATGAGGATTGCTTTTTTCCTTTTTTTTTTAATATGAAAAAATAAACCAGGCAGTACACAGGTATTCATTATTTTTTGGGGGTGTCTGAATTTTTTAAAGGTTCAATTTGTAACTTGCAGTAATTTTATATTTCTGTCAGTGAGTACCAATGACAGTGACTTGAAAGTTCTGATGTCCTTCAAAGACCACAGTTGTCTCCAGGGGAAACAGCAGGGCCTCATTATTATTTTACAAATTCTGCTGTGAAATCCAGAGGACATCATTCAATTTCAACAAATTATAAAAGCAATGGCATGATCAGACACCTGATATTTGTACTGCTATGTAATTTAGATAAAGTCTTTTAAACAATAGGAAAAAACAATTAGTTGCTGGAAAAAATTTGGAAATATGATATTGGACTATTATCTATTGTTCTTAGTTCTATTAAGAAAATTATGGTGTTTTTTTTTTTTTGGCCATTCCTTACCAAAACAATACAGGTGATAAAAAAAAGGAGAAGATGCTACAGATCAAAGTTTGTCTTTTAAAAATATATTGTGGATTGTGTAACGTAATCAGTCTTGGTGTTGGTTACTTTCTCACTGGTGTACAGATGAAGTAACCTACAGACTTTTGGACTTCACAGACCAATATAATGTAAAAACAAAACCAAAAAACGGGAATCGATTTAATATGGCTGAAGAAGTTGCTAATCAAGGACATTAAAAATACTCCCTTCCCAAGAAAAAAGTATCACCATCATTGGAATATTTTTTGTTGTGGTTAAATATACACAACATAAAATTTGCTATTTAAATCATTTTCAAGTGTACAATTCAGTGGCATTAATGACTTTCACAAAGTCGTGCTACCACCACCCCTATTTATTGTCAACAATTTTCATTACTCCAAACAGAAAGCTAACCCCTCCCTGACATTTCAAACTGGTTGGCAGAGACTCAGTTGTCAGCTCCACGATGAGTCATTTGAGAAAAAAAAAATTGCACACATTTTAAAAATAGCTCCTTATTTGTATGACATCTGTTATCACTTTGGTGGGTTTGGATGTGCAAGACTAACACTTTGGAAGCTGTTACCTTCCTTGGGGTAGCCAAGCCTGCCCCCAGATGAGCAGCCAGGAGGCTTCTCTATCCTTATTGCTGTGCTTCCCACAGCCTACCGTAAGCTATCCTTCTCTCTCCCTCCTCCGAGTCTTGTTCACACTGTTCCTCCGGCATCAACATGGCGCCTGGATTCGGTGAGTGTCAGTGACCGAAATGGACTAGTGCTGCCTAGATCCTGTGCATAGCTATGTTGGTAGACATGGGTACCTGTTATTTGCTTTATACTGTATAAATCATATAGCTGTAAAATGAAAACACTTTATAAAAAACCAAATATACACATGAAAGATGGCATTTAAGCAGAATACATAATTTAGACATTGGTGTCTCATTGTACCTTACACATTACATTTGACTAGGATAAATAGTTTAGGAAGCAAATATGGAGTATATCACTCCTTAACCTTTAACTGTTTGTCATGACTTTGTTTCCCTCAGGTTGAAGTGAATCTAATTTTTTCTGAAGTTGCTCACCTGGAGTCAGAAGCGCCCATGTGTTTGGTCATGATTCTGATGTGAATGGGCACCTTCATATCAGAAACCTTTACTAAGGCCCTCTCTCTTC